AAACTCGTCCCAGAGGCTTCGAAAAATCCACCTGCCCAAGTTTTTGCTCAGGGTTCTGAGTGGCTACAGTGCAGTCCGGAACTGCTTTTAAGCTGCTCTCTCTCAGGGGTGCCTGTACTAATTTCACCAACACGGACACTGCTTTCTTCACCAGTAGACCATGTTGGCCATAATCCAAAACAGGGTCGTTGTGGAGTTTGAGCTTATCCCGGCAAGTAATGGGCACAAGGCAGGGTACACATCCCTGGAAGGGGATGCCAGTCCATCACAGGGCACACAGAGACATCGACACACACTCACACCAGGGCCAGTTTTCACAGAAACCAATTTACCTACTAGCATGTCTTTTGACTGTGGGAGGAAACCAGAGCACCCAGAGGAAACCCACACGAACTAGGAGAGAACATACGAACTCCACACATAGAACCCCAGGAATTTAACCCAGGGCCTCAGTGCAGAGAGACAGCAATGCTAACCAGTGTCACTGTGCCACATAAGCCATAATATAACGGCCATTTTAGTTTGGTACCCTTCAAAAATGAGCCTCTGCCTTCAACGTGTGACCACATTCTTAAAAAACAGTCTTTTGGTTTGTCCTTCGCAGAGCAAGTTGTTATTTAAAAGTAAAGAAAAAAAAACACACAGAACAGGTAGCTCTGATAAGCTTACTCTGCAGTCTATCTCCTCAACCTCAGTCACAGCCTGAAGTTAACTGATCTTAAGATGCTGAAGGAAGTAAAAAAAAAAAACCAATACCTGATAAAAAAACAGAGGAAAAGAAGCAGTTGGTGACTGCAGCCACTGCAGAGGACAGAAAGCTTTTTGAAGTCTGAAGCTGTCCTAGCTGAATGTATGTCACTGAAGCTAACAGAGTCCATGTTTGGATTGTGAGATATTCACCAGGGAAAGCCCCGTGTGATGAGTCATGCTATCACAGAGGTCTGTCACTCAGAGCGCAAGCAACAACTGAAGACACATCTCGTCTGACACCTTAATTTCAGGCCAACTGAAACACGCACACCTAGTGAAATCTTCTGGTGTATCAGGTAACAAAGGTGTGCACAGGCGGCCTCCAAACTTTCAGCTCTGAAAGTCCACACTCTCTCTGCATTTGTGGCAGCTCATTTCTGAGGAAAAGTGGATTTTAAGACACCTGAAGTGAAAAGACACAGCTCTCTCAGTGACAGGGCAGTAAGAAAGGAGGGGAATGTAATTAGTAATAGTGGTTTGGGGAAGTTAGCCAGACTATATTTGGTATTTGTGGAAAAACTAAAACAAGATAAACTGTCCCTTTTATTGTGAAATCGTGTCACACCCCAAATAATCTAAAAACAATGGTAAAAATTGTATTTGTAATGTATGTTGTAAGATGAATGTACACAGTATTTGTCAGACGTATATTTTGCGGTCAGAAATAATCACATATTCCGATCATATATAAGTCTAATATAGCAATAAGTGTAAATCACTGTGGACTTCCACTGACAAATATTCAGAATGTGTTTCAACTAAAGAAAAAAGCAGATATTGAAGATGGTCCTGCACCCCAGAAGCACAAGTAGTACCGCAAGGAAGCAATACCAAGCACCGCACGGCCGTGCCGCAACCAGGCAGGATAACAATTCATACAAATCTAGATTTGTGGTCATTACACCAAAATCCTCCAAGCATTCGCTGTGTTGCCTGGATGTTAGAGAAAGGTATCTCTTGACAAATATACGATATGCAATCATACTGAAAAGATGAGACACATCCGTGTTCACAAGAGCACCCTTTACCCGCTCTCGCTCAGCCACACCGAGGACCCGGTGAAACGCGCTGCTTCCCTGTTGCAGAGTTTCAGCAGAACCGCACGCCCGGCGAGGTGCGAGCGGAGCTCTCGGTTCCACGCGGCAAGTCCGCGCCGGTCACAAGGACTTCGGAACGGGGGAACTACACGGCGCCTCCATTCGGGTGCTTTTGTAAAGGTACGCAGGCTCCAGTGAGATAGGTACTTTCCAGAATCCGTCGTTAAAAAAAAAGAGCAAAACAGATTTGACCTTTTCATACCAGGATTAAGTGATATTGCAGTTTTCCTACATCAAACATGAGTGGATGCTATGCATTTACACAAACTGCCAGATTTTCATAACACTGCACTAAATGCTGTTGATTTTGGATAAATTGGAATGATATATTCCCCATAGTGTTTTTTAAGGTGTTCTAGGGTGCACGGCGACATACTTAGTGGTGTCTTTTACTGGTCTGTAGTCCTGGGCCACATCTCTGTCGGGAGTTTGCATGTATGGATGGGTTTTCTTCCAAAACTGCAATTTCCTCCCACTTCTGAAAGACATGTTAGTTGGTGGGTGACACAGTGTGGCAATGATTAGCATTGCTTGGGCTGTGGATTCAGTTTTGTTCATGGGGTGCTATCTGAGTGGAGTTTGCATGTCCCCCCCCTCCCACTGGTTTCCTCCCACAGTCCAAACACATACTGGGTAGGTCAATTGTCTTGTGGGATATTTGGCCCTGGTGTGAGTGCGTGTTTCTGTCTGTGTGTGCTCTGTGATGATGTGATGGGGTGTATTCTGCCTCGTGCCTGTTTGTTTGCCGGGATAGGTCCGGCTCCCCTGCGATCCTGTACTGGATAAAGCACAACGAAAACGGATGGATGTTGCGAGCTTAACAGCTGAATTTTCAATTCCTTTGAAAAGGGTTCTTAACCTGACTCATCATTCATGCTGTCAGTAGAGGCTGGGGTACAGACGGAGCCCAGAATACTTGAAATACAGTTCAGATAGTAAGGTTTGTTATTCCTCTGCAGATATATGATTCTCTTTAAAGCACAATAGGAATGCTGTACTGAGACATAGTAAAGGTTAAAGCAAGGAAAGAGAAACACCATGTGAAAATGCAAAGAAAAGAATATTCAACCCATTCAATCCATACTCAGTCATGCCAGGAGTGTGTTACTGAACTGGAAGTCGTGCAAAGCTCAAGGACTTCTGCAGGGGATATTCCCAGTCATGAAAAAATAAATACAAACTCAGTTGCAGGCACTGAGTAGGTGGGTTCGGCTCCCTCTTGGACTACTTCTGACTGAGGGAGCAAGTACTTTCCCTTCTCCCTGACTTCTATTCTATTCAAACAAACAAAAAAAAAGCTTATTTTTCAGAAATCATCTACCCACTTGCAAAACAGGATGGGTATGTTAGATATTAGGTATTTATTTTTGATTGAGCAATGCACTTCAGGCAAAAGGTCACTCAACCTGCTAATGCAGAAGTGCTGAACGCGCGCCCTTCCCCCAGCCGAATCTCCACAGCGCCTTTGTGAAAATAAACAGCGAGGATCCAATGTTTTGTTTCTTGGTGTTGTGTACCATGTCACCCCGGGAAAAAGAAGAAAAAAAAGGACTCTTCACCTTTTCTTGAGGCTAGATGGGCTGCTGGGACTGGGCGAAACCAATCTTTCCACACTTCATTTTAGGGCAACAAAGAAAAGTCAGGTTTGATCTGGCCTTTCCCCATCAACAAGTGAGCATGGGGATGAAATTCCACAGCATTTCCCCTGTTTGCCCTGTTTCCCTGGCCTATAGAATTACTGCCATCACTGCACTCTCCTGCAGCATGACTCAGCCACGACTTTGTTGCCTTTTCAGACATTTCAGTCCTTCCTGAAGAAATCAATCTTGTTTGAAATCCCCCCTAGTTTTTCCAAAGGCTTAAACTGGTGCTCTCATAATCATTTACTTTTCCCCCCTCTTTCTTTTATCTCCTGTGGAGTTTTTAGCTGCAGTTTTCTGCAGCTAAAACCTTGCCATGACTTAAAATTAAATTTAAATGAAATCACATTGACTCTTAATTGTAAAAAAAAAAGATCTGTATGTCTCCTCATAATCCTGGGGCCCTGGGTTCAATTCTGGATCTGGGGTGCTGTCTGTGTGGAGTTTGTATGTCCTCCCCAGGTTTGCTTGGGTTTCCTCTGGGCACCCCAGTTTCCTCCCCCAGTCCAAAGACATAATGGGAAGTAATATGGCTTCTGGAAAACTGGCCCTGTGCATATGTGTGTTCGTGCCCTGCCATGAACTGGCGTCCTGTCCAGGGTGTAGCCTGCCTTACGCCTGGTGCTTGCTGGGATAGGCTCTGGCTCCCCTGCAACCTTGAATTGGATAAAGGAGTTAGGAGATGGCCGGCTGGGTGGATCTGTATGCCTCCACGCACACAAGGTGCACATTCCCTTCCTTTTCTGTGTGATCTGCGTAAAAAGTCCTATCTGTTCAAAAACGATCGTAAAAATGTGTCACGTGCGTTCCATTTGTTCTGCTGAAGCCGGCAATGCAGCAGACAGCAGGAACTGGGGCTGCATGCAGCACAACTCTGCAGCCCCCCAGGCTCCCTGCCCCCACCCACTAGTCTCCCAGCTTCAAGCATGCCCTACAATGCCTGGAAATTAATAAGACAGCAGTCAATTAGGCAGTTGCTGGCAGTGTTGTTTCCCAGCTGTGTCCAGGAAGGAGATGAACCTGTGCACAGTCTGGAAGGGCTGAAAGACAGAGCTGGGCCAGACTGCTGATTTGCATAAACTGAGAGGGGGGTGGGGAGGCTAGAGCCGAAGGAGACCCTGCCAATTTCCAGTCAACCTCCCTCTCTGGTTTCCCAGGAATAGGAATGTGAAGCCAAATGCTTTACAAAGACGCATCTCAATAACGCAAACTTTATAATTTAAGCTCTGGCAACTTTACACATTTAAAACAGGCATCCGCCCAAAGATTGTGTAATTGTCCAAATTTCCCACCCACTGTCTAAATACCCGCTCCCTGCAAGGCGTCAACAGGCCCCAGGTGCTTCACAAGGCCAGACTCTCAGGTGCGGTTCTGGTTGGGTTTGCTGTTTTGTGTGCTTCAGCTGATTCACCTCTGTCAAATGCCTCATTTTAATATGGCAGGGCTGTGTGTACACTTAGAATGTTTAGCCTACACAAGATCCCATTTGTCAATTGCAGGGCCCTGCTGTTACGTGGCAAGGTAACACGTAACCTTGTTACCTTGTCACGTTGCCTTGTGACGTAAAGTCACAAGGGCAGCCAAAGGAAAAAGAAGTCTCCAGGTCCTTGCTGGCATATCCCTGCGCCCAGCACTAAGGACAAAAGGAACTGAGTGCACCTGTCTCAGGTGGAACTATATTTCCCCAGAGCAGGAATCTAAACACAAAAGAAGCTGCATGCTTCAGAAACGATCCGAAGGTATTGCATTTCAACAGCTGATCAAACTTTCGTTAAAAAAAATGTCACGGTCCGGCTGGTTTTGGCGTTCAAGCTGTTTACATGTCATCCTCCGATTCACGGAAAAACGACGCTCTTCTGAAATTGCAAATCAGTTTCAGGCCTTTTGGAAAACGTCAAGGCAAACAAAGCCACAGAGTGTGGCATTCACGGTGGTGATTTAGGCATTTTGTTTTACTCTTCCATGATACTTCTCAAAGCAAGACGGTCATGATCCTTCTTGTTATTATTGGCAGGTATGTGTGAGACTGCTGTTTTCATGTCTGTGTCCGCGGCAGAGAACTAGGAGAGGAGAGAGCACTGTATTCCTGTAGCAGCACTGTAATCGCTGAACCCTGTCAATGGGCCCAACTTCCTTGATAGGCCTCAGAGCAAGCTGCAGCAAAAACGCTTCAGGAATGCAAGAGAGAGGGAGCAAGCACTGCCAAGAAAGAAATAAGTCCGTCCAAATCCACAGTGGCCTCTCAGCACCCTCACCTCTGCCCCACAGTGGCCTCCTCTCTCCAGAACTGTGCAGATCTGAAACCCCGAGAGCTATCTATTGAGTGTGCACGTGATCTGTCCAGCTCATCAGCAAACTGAAAACTGGAAGGGAGAGAGGCCGCAGAGGGGATACTGTGGCTTCCAGGGCAGACCTCAAGATCCAGTTCCTGTGCGCCGTTTCACAAACAGATCAACAGGGCCTCCCCACCATACCCCTTCCCATCATGCTCGGCGGCGGAGACGAGACGCTGGTTCAGTTCCAGGGTTCGTTTCTTAAAAGAGTCTGCTTCACTCCTGAGCTCAGGCTTTTAAAGGTTTCTGTTCTGTGTGCTGAACCAGAATAAAAACCCTTTGCCACCACAGTCTGAAGACCAGTGTCCACACACCTCATATAAATAAGGCCAATACATTCTGGATCGCCTTAAAAGTCCCCCAAGGCCTAGGTTGCCACACAAACATTAAATAAGAAATTAAATAAGAAGGGGAAGTAGTGGGAAAAAAAACAGAGGCTGAAAAAGAAAGGAGGAGGAGAAAGGGGCCTTGTGGGAGAGGGAGAAGCCCTGGTGGGTATTTCTGCACCTGCATCACTGTTTTATTAGGTCAGGGGTCTCTCTCGAAAAAAAGGGGTGGGGTGCCCCCCTCCCCCTGCCACTGATTAACGGCTGCCACATTCAGACGCCTCAAGTTCAGCACTTCTACACCCCCCTATACCCACCGCCGCCCCCCTCCCCCTGCGATTCTCGTTAAAGAAATGATACTTTGCAAAGAAAGCGCCTGATTGCAGTGGCACCCCTGCGTGGCCGATCTGGGTCAGTCTCCCTGATGAGACAGCCACACATGGGGAGACCGACCGAGGACACTGCCTGACCTGATTAGAGGCCTGACTGCTTGGGCGAGCCGGCTAATCAAGCACCCTCCCCCTCCGGTCTCTCTCCCACCCGAGCTCAGATGCGACACGCAAGGGAGAAGAACAGGACTCAGGTCACAGAATAGTAAAGCCAGGGCAGACTGGAGCAACTGAAACCTCCCAGGCGAGAGGAGCCAGTTCAGGGTTATCCTCATCATTGTCATTCCCCAGAATGGGCAAAGGTCTATTCCATGCTGAAAAGAGAAGAAGAGAAACACAATGTTTTGCCTGTGAAGGCTTCTTCGGGTGTCACACCTGAAGAAGGCCCCACAGCCAAAATGTCGTGTTTCTTTTTTCCCCCTTTTCAACATGGAATAAACCTTTACTTGTTCCTTTGCAGCCTATGCACACTGACACAGCTACTGTACCTACTGTGCTTGAACATTAGCATTCACCCTAGAGTCTGAGAAGCTGTGCCTCCTTCCAATGTCCACGCCCTAGACTACTCCTTGTACCGACTAGAGCAACAGACAACTGGAGCATTAACAGCAGCAGAATTACTCTGCACCAAACAGACTAGGGGAATACTTTCCACTGTATTATGGGAGCATAAACAACACCAATCCCGCCTTACTGCATCCTCTTGAAAAAGCTGAGGGTATATTCCTGTGCATCTGGAATATTTGTGACTGTGAGTGTGCTGAGGGCATTTCCCAGGACAACATGAGAA